ATGGAGAGAAAATGTTTTGAGAAACGATGTACAAATGCGCTTTACACAATTGATGTGTGTATGGATTGGGATAACAGTTGTATGAGCCCCTGATAAAATGTTAAAAAATTTTTAAAAAAAAAAAAATAAAAAAAAATAACTCACTCAATGAGTACATCAAAGTGGGCCTTGCATAAGCCAAATATGTCATAAATCAGGAATGGTGTCTGAATACTAGAGGTCATAAAAAGAAACAGCATCACACCATTTCACCCTTGAGGTCACTGGGATTGAATGAGGCTAAGTGACACCCCCAAATCACACGGCTTCTAATAATAGGCAGAGCCGGGATTTGAATCCAGGTCTGTCTGCCTGCAGTTTAATTCTCTTCTCTTCACATTATTCCGTGTGAAGACAATAAATCCCTACCACCAGATCCCTAACATCCGTGAAGCGGAGCCCTGGTGGCGCCGTGGTTCAGTGCTAACTGTAGGCTGGCAGGCAAGCCCTCGGGCAGGTCAGCGGCTCCACCTGTCCTGAAGGGAGGGAGGGAGGCGGTAAGTGGGCATCGGAAGGATGGGAGTCCATGTTGCCCTCTCTCTGCCCCAGCCTCGGGCTACAGAATGGGCACGTTCACCCTGAGATGGCTTCCTCCCCAGGGGGGTCCTGCCCCTCTCCCTGGGCCTCTCTGGCCTCCCCTGAGCACGGGGCTGGCTGGGGTGCTCACCGTCTGGCCTGGATCCCCGGTTTGTGCGGCGTGCCTTTCCTCTTCATGAGCCTCTCCATGGCACTGGGGTGGATAATTGGGCGGACGGGGTGCCGTTTGTAGGTCCCGGGATACTTCTTTTCCACAGCTTGCTCACGCCTGTAGGACGAGAGAAAAATGCCTTTCTGTATTGTGGCCAGAAAGGGCAGCAGCGGGTTCCACCAGCTATTTCCACCCACAGATCCCGGCTCCGGGCTAGCAGACGCAGGCGATCTGGCGGGGAGAGGACACTGCAGTGGCGTGGCCCTGACCTGGTTCTGCTCTGCAGCTCACAGATGGACCCTGCCCAGCATGCCCGTGGGGACACAGCACAGTGGCAGGTATCCTTATTTTCAGTAGCTGCCCAGGGGTGAGTGGGAGGGAGTTCTTGTCTTCATCATGAAAATCTTAAGCCACCGTAGGTAGCCACGCTGCTTCCCTAAGGGGCAAACAGTAGATGCAGCTGGTTCAGTGCTCACCTACTAACCCAAGGCAGGTGGGTCAAAATCTACCCAGAGACACCTAGGAAGAAAGGCCTGGAAACCTGCTTCCAAAAGGTAACACTGCCTTGCAAACAGTGTGGTTCTGCTTCAAGCACACCAGGGGGCAACCTGAACCGGAACTCACCCCACAGCAACTGGGGTGTGTGTGTGTGTGTGTGTGTGTGTATACTTAAATTTATAGAAACAAAGCTCTTCTTGAAACGAGGACACCTTCTCCACACGACGGGCACTCTGGGGGTGGTGTAGTTCTGCATTGGGCTGCGAACTGTTAGGTCAGCAGTTTGAACCCACCAGCTGCTCTGTAGGAGAAAAATGAGGCTTTCTACTCCCGAGAAGAGCTACAGCCTTGAAACTTCACAGGGGCAGTTCTACTCTGACTTCAGGGTGGCTGGGAGTCAGTACTGACTCGATGGCCGTCAGTGTCTGAATGACCCACTGCAGAGCAAAGACTGTCGAATGCACATGCCGAGGCCCGGCAGCAGCCCCAGGGGCGACTCCATGCTCGTGAGCCTTGCCGGGCCCTGTGCGCAGTCCAGCCCTTAAGGAAGGTTGGGCGAATGAATGCAACACATGCCGGCTGCGAGGAGCAGCACTGGGGCGGCGTGATTCATTTTTGCTGACGGCTGACCCAAATCCATGAGGACAGTCACCAGTCTGGGTACATACTTGATGAGCTCCTTCTCCCGCATTTCCAGCTGCAGCATGATGGCGCTCAGCTCCATGTATAAATTATTAGCTCGCTCGAGTTTCCTCTCGTAGTGCTCACGGATGTCCAAGGCATGCCTGGCAGACAGAGTGGAGAATTAGCTGAGCAGGCATCCGGCACGGGGGAAGGAGGGTCGGCTGTAAGGTCGCAAGGAACACACGGTGTGCCTCCAAAGCATTGGCTTAAGGACCCTCGATGCTCCAGGTTCCTGCATTCGGTGCACTGACAGAGAGCAGGGAGCTGGGGAGAGGACAGGCAAGCCTCCACTTGCTTATCCTTGTCCTGGGGTGTGGGGTCCACAGCCAGCCACATCAAACAGCCAGAAAGAGCGCCCCTGGTCAAACCCGAAGGTGATTTGTGTCTGAGGTGCGGCCTCGCGGGCAGGCTGCCGGGATCTACCCTGATGGTCCTAGCTTTGTTCACGAACCTAAAAACGGCTTTGGGCACCCACGTCTTAAGGAAAGACACAGTAAAACATACTCATTCTAAGGACAATCCGCAGTTTAAAGCTGACACCACGCCGGCTGGTCTGTTTGCACTGACCCACGGCCCAGAGCATGCCTTCTCTGATGTTGTGGTCATTGGTGCCCATGTTTGGTGTGTGTCTCTTCCTGGAGGATGAGCTAAAATACTCTCCATCCCTGCCCTTTCAGGGTACCCAGGCCAGGAGCTGACCGAACAGGCCGCATTTTCCCTGGCCTCCTTTGCTACAGAATATAGGGCGATATGGGAGATCCCTGAGTTGGGGAGAGAGGACATGAAGAAGGGCTAGCTTCTAGGACAAGTTTGAAAGGGTCTGACTATGAAAAACAGGGGAGGAAGGTGTGTGTGTGTAGGGGGGTATCCAAAGAGGACTCCCGAGATCAGCTGGAGACCTGGAGATAGGAGAGGGGGGGGAGGGGAGAGGCCAGCTGACCTGAGCTCCTCTCTGCGCCTGCGGATGAGTTCCTCGTCCAGGCGGTGTATGCACGCGCCTTCGCTTTTGATCTTCTCAAAGTGCTTTTTCACTTCTTCTCTCCATTCAGCCTGGGTGAGGACACAGCAGAGTTTGTTCATGTGTTAGCAGCTACAACCCCTGATACACCTGGGCCCAGGTACAAGCACCCACCCCCGGCCCCTAAATATGTCTCTACTGAAGAGTCTTATCCAGAAGAGATTCTCAATAACTACTTGTTGTTGATTGATGCTCACGCTAGTCTAGCTGCAAACCCAACACCACTTTCCGCACGTGGAGGCCAGTGTACAACACCGTCTCTTTGTAGACTGCCCTGCTGCACTGGCCACCGGAAACATCGCAGCTGGCACACTGGCCTTCGCCTCTGGGAACCAGATCTCAATGCCAGGCAAGGTGGTGGCTGAGCTAGCCTGGTAACTTGGGGAGGTCCATGTGTCCCTGAGAGTATGACCCTCTTTACAACTGGCCAGGAGCCCTGGTGGCATAGTGGGTACACATTGAGCCGAAAACTACCCTCCAGCTCGGAGGGAGAAAGATGGGACTCTCTACTCTCATAAAGAGTCACAGTCGGGGAGACTCACGGGGCTTTCTACCCGTGAGTAGAAAGGGTCTACTTTCTAGGGTCGCCGTGAGTCGGAACTGACTGGATGGCAGTGGGTTTGGGTTTGGGTTCTACAACTGGCATCAGCATCCCTCCTTGCTTTGTTTGGGTCAACATCGTGAGAAACTGTTTGCAGGAGAAGACCCCCATTGGTGCTGAACAGCGAGGATGGGCATAAACGTATGAAGAAATGATACCGGAAGTTGGGGTGAGGAGACGAACAGACAGGGAAGGAAGAGGAGAGAGCGGGAGTGTGGACAAGCAATTTAGTGGGTCAGCCAAAATTTTCGGGCAGGCTTGGGTGTCGAACATGTGGCTTAAACGTCTGCCAATTGGCTAAACCTTCAACGTAGCCTCTCATGTTCACATTGTGAGTGGAAAGGGGCTGACTCTCACCTCTGGGTCAAAGGTGAAGCTCAACAGGGGGAGGGCTGAGCGGGGAGTGAAGCTGAGCGGGGGAGGGCTCCCTGGAGGAGGGAGGTGCTGCGGGGATCTGGGGATCTCTCACTAATGTCCACGGCCGGCTAGTCAATTTTGACTCACAGACTACTGTGGGGTGTAGGACTCCTCTTGGGGTGTCTGAGATGGTGAATCTTTGTGAGAGTGGAGAGCCTCTTTTATCTCTCACAGAGTAGCTGGGGGCTTTGAACCTCCCACCTGGCAGTTACCAGCCCTCTGCAGTTAGCTGCTAACCCTCACCAGGGGTCCTTGTGAGAAGAGTTTTAGAGGCCATAAAACCCAGCGCTTAACTGGCACCCGAGTCCTCTTTCTAACTCTCAAGGTATGACTGCTCAGCCCCTGCCCATGTACCCCTCACCGATGAGGAGGTGACCCCCAAAGAAGGGCACCCCAGCCCTACAACAAGCTGTGGTGTCTGGGCACCTTCCAGCCCCTGGATTCCTGCTGGCCACAGTGGTTGAGGCAGTCTCAGGAACCCATGAGGAAAGTATGAGAGCAAAAGGCCGAGGCTCGTCAAAGAGCTCAGATGCAGGCCCAGGACCTATGAGGTAGGTGGGATTGGGGAGAGGGCTAAAACGTCTTCTGGAGACTTGTGTCACATGCCATTGAAGACAGGGAGCAGTAACTGCCCACTTGGTGAAAGGGGTTCTTGTCTGGGAAAGAAGCAATAGCTTTAGAACAACCTAAGCTTGTACTGAAATTGGTTGCTCTGTTCGTCTGTTCTGTATATGCTGCCTCTTTATACGTGTGTTGTGATGAGGGACTGAGGAAGCATCTTCTTTCAAAGTCAGCTGGGCTCTTGGCAGGAATCTCCGATCACTGTCATCCAGTTCGTTCCGATTCACAGTGACCCTATAGGACAGAGTAGAACGGCCCTGTGTGTTTCCCAGGCTGTAAATCTTTATAGGGGCAGAAAGCCTCATCTTTCTCCGGCAGAGCAGCTGGTGGGCTTGAACTACTGACCTTGCAGCTAGCTGCCCAATATCTAGCCCCCTCCACCACCAGGGTTCCTACGGTGGTTATATAATCATTTGTCAATTTGAGAGGATTAAGAGGGAAGGGGTGGAGTCTAGCCTGTCAATCAGATCATAGCCAATGAGGCCTCTGTGTGGGCCTGGCCTTCTCCTGAGGATTCTGGGAACTCCAGTATTCCTCCTTGGAGGCGGAAGACGTTCTCTCTCTCTCTCTGTGCTCACTCCCTGGGAGACACTGCAGCTGACAAGACACATGAAACTACACTAGTGCCCTGAGCTAGAGGAGCCACGTGGAGACCCCTGCCAGCGCTGAGATGCTTACAACACCATTGGATCCACAATATGTCCCATCCACTGGCCTGGGATCTTCCTGCATTTGGTGCCATTGCATGGGCTTCGTGAGTCTGAAGAGGACTTTACAGACTGGGATCAGATACATGGGCTAATATTGGACTTACGGACTTGATCTGGACTGGGCTGGGATGTTTTCTTCATGTACAATTACTCATTCTACAAAGCTCTTTCTTATACACATATGCGTATCTATAAACTTTGCTTCTCTAGTCTACCCAGACTAACACAATCCCTTAGCTGACAGTTTTGGTGGAAGGAGGAGACCAGGGACTAAGGAAAATTGGTTTCTAGCTGACCCTGAGGAGGCAGGAGGAAGGACGTCTCAGGTACATGATTGCTATAGAGGAAACAAAACTGTGTGCTGAACAACCAGTTCTTCCTCCCGGAGGGAGGGCAGAGCCAAGCCACAATGAACAGGCACTCCCTAGCTGCCATCTCTTCCAGCTCAGGAGTTCCTCCCAAAGGGCACCCCGAAGATAACAACTCCCAAAGAGGCTCATTACCACTTTCTAAAGCTTTTTATTACGACTTAAGTGACGGTATCCAGAGCAGATCATCCGTTTTACGGTCCACAGTTTTAAACACTTTTGTTTCAGCTCACCCATTTCCATCCCCTCAATGCAAGCACCTTATTTATTAGCAGCGGTGACTGATAGCCTCTTGCAATTGGCCGGTTCTTTACAGTCTCCAATGCACTTGTTTTTATGGTCCCCGATGATCCTTGCAGAAACTCTGCATGGATGGGAAAATCCATTGCTTTCCTCATTTGGATGAGTGAGGGAAAGTAGTCACTCGCCAAGCTCACATGGTGTTAAGTGCCAGGGTCAGTGTGCACACACAGGGACCGGCCACTTTCTTAGTGTCTCTTTAGCTAGTTGATTAATCTTGATGATCAGCCAGAGCTTGTCTGACTTTCAGCACCAGAAGCAAGTCAGTGTGTCGGTGTCTGGAGGAGTCGAGGGACTTGTGGAGAACAGCAGATGCGGGACGATGTAAGGAGCGGTGACATCGTATGTGGGGAGAGAAGGGTAGACGATGAATGACTGGAAGGAGCCCGGATGGTGCAGGGCTTCGGTGCTCGGCTGCTGACCAGCCTGCGGGGGCTCCAGCCTGCCTGGTGGGTGTGCACAGTGAGACCCGGAGATCTGCTCCCATAAGGAGATAGTCCAGGAACCCTCTGAGGAAGCCCTGCCAGGTCCGGTGGGGTGGGCGGATGACGTGCCAGAACTGGCGCAGCAGCAAGATGCCCTGTGTCCAGCATTTCATTTTGGTTCTGTCTTCCCGAGGCTTGTCACCAGACTAAATTCCTGGTCACTGCAGCCAATCACCAAGGGGGGGGGGGGCAATGAGAGTCAGCGTGCGTTTATTAACACATCTACAAGGTCAGCGAGATGAGGTCTCCAAGACTGTTTTACAATCTCTCCTCACATAGTCAGGGCTTTACACTTCCTTGGGTGTTGGCACATCTGCCTGGCCACAGTCTTCCTCAGAGTCGACTTGCTTTCTCATCTGGGGTACCATCTGCAGCACAGGATTTACGTCCTGGGCATGACTGCCCTGCCCCCTTCAGACCATACTTATGTTCTGAAAGGGGCACAAAGGTGTCAAAGGCACCCGTCTGCTGCACATCCTGTGTCCTTCTGGCTCTTCTCATGCCAATTCCCTAATCCTATGTTAGGGCGCTCAATACAAGAGCAGTACCAATCACTCAGACTGTCTGGGAGGGCATTCCCACGGGAAGTTAGTCAAAGCAGTAACAACGAAAGGGTTTTAGACTTTGTATCTACTTACCGTATATACTCCAGTATAAGCCGACCTGCCTATCAGCCGAGGCACCTACTTTTACCCAAAAACTGCCTAACAGAGGTGCTGGAAAAACTCAGCTTACACAAGAGTATATACGGTCATCTGCTTAGCTGATTCAGGATCAAAGCAGAATTCACTCAAAGCTCCCCCCCCCCCCAGGAGCTTCTCCAGCTGCAGGGAACTGACACCTGAAATGTGATCAACGCAGCATCTCTCATTCTTGCCTCAGAGGGAGATTTTCCGAATTCAATTTTAACTGTGTGCTGTGAGTATCGTGGGGCTAAGTGTGAGTTTGTGCAAGTGAGGATATTGACTGTGGGGCAGTTAGTTGCCTAAAAGAGTGCCTTGAATTATGGCCAGTGCTTTAAAAATGTTGCACCAGTGTCAGAAGTGATATTCTGTGGACGCACAAGTCCTACCCGTTTAGAATTGGAAGTTTTCCAAATATGAGGGCAACTTAAAAAAAAAGTCTTGCTCCAAACTGATGGAAACCGGTAGTAAACAAAAACGTGAAGCTATTGTTTCTCAACATATTCCTCATCTAAATCTATATACTTCTGAAGGTGTTTCCAGCTCTCTAATCCCTTCCCCTAAAGAATTCTACAATCGTTGATTTCTACCACATCCTCAGCCTTGGCATCCCCAAGGGAGGGTCAGGGCTGCAGGATGGACAGGGAGCGGCGGGCTTCCCAGTGGAATTCTCCTAAGGACAGGCCTTGCTACCTCAAAGAACGAGCAGCCACATCGTTGGGAGGGAAAATTCCTTGATGTAACTTCCTGGGTCTTTTTCTCATCGATGCAGTTTTCTATATATAATACTTCTTCACCATAAGCCTCCATGGTCATCCTGTGTCCCTTGGGAAAATCTATCAAGAGTACCCTCACCCCCCCCCCCGCCCCAAAGTCTCTGTAACCACCTGAGCTGACTTCTCTGCCTTGAATTTAACTGGCCGACCAGATCCAATTACATTTTTGATGGGCCCTTCCTTTTGAAGGCACCTTCCCAAGACAGAGAGGATTGTCTGCTGCATTCACTGATCACAGAGACATGAGCAAGCATGTTGGCACAAACCCGTGCAGGCATGAACTGGAACCCTAAGGGTGACTCCCCTTCATGTAGACAGTTACACTGTCTCAATGGCATGTGACTTTGAAGCTTTAGGAAAAAGCGCATTTCAGAATTGTGGGACACGGGGTGTTACTATAAAGCAGTGGTTCTCAACCTTCCTGATGCTGCGACCCTTTCATACAGTTCCTCATGTCGTGGTGACCCCCCCAACCATAAGATTATTTTCATTCATCACTGTAATTTTGCTACTGTTATGAATCAGGCGGCCACACATTGAGAACTACGGCTATAAAGAAAGAAAAACTGTGATTGCAACCATATCCTGGAGTTTGAAATACTTCCTTGAGAATTCGCACTCTTATTCTCTCTCATGGCACAAAAGGCCCTAAGCCTTTCCTGAATACTAACAGAAGAAGATAGTTGAATGATTTCTTATCTGGCGCTGCAGATCATGATGCGTTGACTAGCTAGGCAATTGCTTACTTAGTGCTGAGAGAATATATGTGAATGCATCCCAAACAGCATGGGAAGCATCACGACGTCAACCTCCTACAGCCTCTCCTTTTCGGAGAGCACACGCTTGCATTGAAATCCCTCAGACACACTAAGGCACAACAGAACGCCTGGTTACTTAAAGGCGCAGTGTGTAGAGCGCTGCGCTTGAGAATCCCAGAGTGCGTGTTGGGGCAACAGGGCAAGAGTCTCTGAGTGGCATTCCCTAGAACGGCACACACACAAAGAAGGTGCCCCTTCAGCTAGACATCCCTCATGTCTGGCAGCCGGATGTCCCCGTGTTTATCAGGCACCAGGAGGCAGTGACTCCCTGGCTCTGAGTGGGACTCCCAGGGCCAACACCTCTCCCAAAGTCCAGGACCTTTCCATCAGATACTTTCCAAAGAGAGAAGCTCATCGCCCACTGGAGGTTGGGCGCTGTGAGGAGGAGGTTCAAACGCCAATTAATAAAGCCTTTTCTGAGAATGAATCTAGTAGACACTAGTAGATAGAACTCACTATGTCAAAATTCACTTTTATGAGCCCCTAAAAGAAGGTATGTGTAAATAATAATAACAATACATAATATATTAAGGGTTCACAGGGGTGGCAGAGTGGGGGAGGGAGAAAAAAAGGAGGAGCTGATATCAAAGGGCTCAAGAAGAAAGATAATGTTTCGACATTGTTGATGCCAACAATTGTACACGTCTGCTAGATATAATGGATATATGGATTGTTATAATCTATGTAAGAACCCCCAATAAAATGATTTATTAAATAAAAAAAAAGAAACACAAGGGTGACAGAACTATATGAGAATGAAGATCTCAGGTATCTGGACAGCTAAATTCCAGGAGGCCTGTGGCACCCTGGGTTCAGCAGTGGGCTGAACGATTCAAATCTTTGCAGGAGACAAGTCTTTTGTAGTTAGAAAGGCAAGACCTGCTCCCAGCAAGACCTGCCCTCTCAGAAACCCTCCGGAGCAGTTCTATCCTGTCCAACCGGGTCACTCTGTGTTGCAATGGACTCAAGGCCCATAGCTTTGACTTGATCGTTAAATTCGGCAAGTGGCAAGCGACATCATCCCATGAGCTGCCAAAGCCACAGTGGCACCCTTTGATATTGCCTGGGTCTGGTAAGAATAGGCATCTTGGCGTATACACCCCCCCCCCACCCGCCCTGCCCCCATGCATCACAACAGACCATCACCCTTCTGCCATGTGCAGCATGTGTTAGAACCACACACACTCTCTGGATCCATGTCCTTACCATGTGTATTGCAGAACTCCTTGCTAAGCGGAGAAGTCGGCCCTAGAATCGGTGACTTGTTTGGGCCAAGAGGACATGAGCAGGCAGGATGCAAACAGAGACTTGAAAATCATGTGTGCTGGAGCCCCAGCTGGCCTGCCGAAGGGCGGAAGGCCGAGTGGAAAGAACTGGGGCACGCTCCCCAGTAGTCAGCCACCTGGCAGGCTTGTGAGGAGGCCACCAAGGCCCAGCCAGCCTTCCAAGTGACCGGCAAATGACTGCAAGTACCTTAAACCCTCTCAGAGCCAACAGAAGAGCCACCTGGCCCTAATGGCCAACTTGCAGGTCATGAGCTAAAGGGATGCATCTTTTCAAGATCCCAAGGCAGTCCAGGCTAGCCAATACATGGGATTATGTTGTATTTTGTGCTAGTAGGTGCTGTGTGCAGCCTCTCTCTGGGCCTAATTCCATCATGGCTGTCTCTAGTACTTAGCTTCCCTCCTCTGTACTTCGGTTTGTCAAATCCTTAGAAAACAACACTTTCACGAACGCAAACACTCTAATTCCAACCATGTGCATCCGTGATACGTTCTCGTTTCTTTCCCTCTCTTCTCTGCCCCACTGTGAGGGTGCCCACCGTGCAGTGTGATGACCGTTTGGCATCACTGCAGTTAGGTAATTGTGCTGAAAATCAAAGGGCGAGTTCCTCTTCCTCCTGGAGTGTTGTCGGCCCGTCGGCTCAGAACCACCTGGTGGACAGTTTCCCAACTTACCTGGGACTTGAAGTAAGTTTCTTGAGGGGTGGCCAGCACGTCCGCGGACGCGATGTCCAGATGCATGAGCGTCTGCCGGAAAGAAGGCCGGTTGCGAGGCTTACTCTGCCTGAAAGAGGTGGGGTGCGCAGTTCAGAGACACTGTCCAGGGCCGGGGAGTCTATGGTCCTCTGCGGACCTTTCTGACTCTGGGTCATGTCCAGCCCTGGCTGCAGCTCCGTTGTCATAGACCGCAGGGCAAAAGGCAAATGCCACTTAGCAATACTTGTAAGTGGTGACAGAGAAAGGTCGGGGCTCAGCGCATGCTTGATGGCACTCCCCAAGGACCAGTCAAACAATCGCCATCATTTACTAAGGCACCAGATCTCAAGCTATATGCTTTATTTAACAAAATCACTTTAAAAAATGTAATCACCACCGTATAACTCTATGAGTAGGTGCTACCCCCCACTTTACAGATGAGAAAACTGACGTATGAAGGACATGTCCCACGTCACACCAAGAGGAAAGGGCAGAACCAAGATGGGAACTAAGCCCTGGTGGTGATGTGGGTTGCTAACCTCAAGGTCAGCAGTTCAAAAACTACCAGATGCTCCTCAGGAGAAAGACAAGGTTTTTTACTTCCATAAAAAAAAAAAGATGTCTCGGGAGCCCTGCCCTATAGGGTCGCTGTGACTAGGAATTGATTCAATAGCAGTGAGTGTGAGGATTTAAATTCAAGCTTCCCAAGTTCCAACGTGCCTTATCTTTGCAAACACATATTGAGATTGTCCCTGCTCTTTTAGGAAGGATTTGATAGAGTTTGGAGGAAGAAGGGAATCTATTTCCTTACCACGTCTGCTTCATCAGAATTTTGAATCCGTCAGGGCAAGTGGAAGGAACTGGAAGGTGCAGGCTGTTGCTTCCAACACCCCAGATAATGGCTGATGAGTCCACGTCTTTGTACGGAATCTCGCCTGTCAGCAGCTCCCAAAGCACCACTCCAAAAGACCTAGGGCGGGCCCGGAGCACACACAGTTGTTTCAGAAAGATGGATTTGTATACTCACTGATGTTTCCCTTCTTTTTATATCCTTCATCCAAGCGATACGCATGCCCAATTTTCGTATGGCTAATGCAGCTACTGGAGACGCAGAACTACAATAGCCAGGAAAGCTCCGGAGAAGACAAACCTATGAAAGGAAACCGGCACTACTGGGCTTGCAGACAGCATTCGTGCTGTGGGGCTAGACAGCCAGCTACAGCAAGGGAACAGAAACCTAGAAATGGGCCACACAGATGCAGGAATTGAACATACGACAGAAGGGACATTTCAAACCAATTGGGAAAAAATGTTATTGGTTATCCAATAAATGCGATTGAGATAACTGGAAGCTTATCTGGGAAAACATGAAATTGGATACATATCCCATCTTACATCAAGATAAGTTCCAAATGAATGGAAGATTTAGTGTAAGGAATAAAACCGCGGGGTGCTTTCATATCGTCTCGGTTGGGGAAGCCCTTTCTAACGACAAAATGTAGATGCCACAGGAAAGAGTAACACATTCAATTGCTTTAAGGAGCAAGACAAAACAGCCCGCGAGGGGCGCAAACACCCCATCATTAAATAAAATAACTAGATCTGAAAAATGGTTGCAATTCACATATGCAAGAAATATTTCAATATATAATATTCTTATGAAAGGTAAGAATAAAGATAAAAACGAGCACGGCATGAGCAGTGCACAAATGGGAAACTACAAAGGGCTCTAGCCATGAAAAGACACTCAAAATCACGCTAACAGCGGTGCAAACTGAAACCGTCCCCAAGACGCCACCTCTCACCGACCCGGTTAACAAAAAGCCACAGGCTTGCTGACATCTTTGCTGACGAGCTTGAGAAAACCTTCGTGGACCTTTCTGGTGGGAATATAAATTGGTATAAGCCCCAAGGAGGGCGCTGTGCCCAAAAGACAAACGAGCCCACATTTCCCCTTTCTGCTATTCCCATGGCTGTCAGACACCAGTCTGCAGAGACTGCTCCTCGAGGAGCCCCGGTGGCGTAATGGTTACATGCTAGGAAATCTGCAGGGTCAGCAGTTCAAGACCACGAGCCACTCCTCGAGAGAAAGATGAGCCTTTCCAAGCTTGGCCTTGGAAATTCGCAGGTACAGTTCGACCCTGTCTTGTAAGGTCACTATGCGTCGGAGTTGACTCGATGTCAGTGGGTGAGGAGTCCCTGGTGGGTGCAAATGGTTAACGTGTGGCACGCTAACCAAAACTCTGGAGGTTTGAATTCACTGGGGCTCCTTGGAAAATAAACAAAAAACAGCCTGACAATTTGTTCCCAAAAAACAGCCTGCAAAATCCAGGCGCTCAGCCCCATTCGGACACCCAGGGGTGCCCTGGGTCAGAGTGGACCCAGTGGGTTATTTTGGTCTTAAGCCTAAAAGTTGTTAGTTGCTACTTCTAAGGGTTGAAGCAAAACAACTACGAGGAAATACACTGTTAACATTTTGCCACGGGGTAGTTCTACCGCCATATGGGGTTGCTCTGGGTGAGAACCCACTCCCCGGCAGTGAGTTTGTCTGTCTGAGAGGTGAACATGACAGTGGGGCGGAGGAAAGAGAGGAAAGAACTGGGAAGTAAAAGCTACATGAAGAGGAATACACATAGACGTGCATACGTGTGAACACATTCACATATAAAGACAGGAGGATTGGTCTATGTACATATATTTATACGTTCCTACATTAAGGTAGCAGACAGACTTTGGGCCGCGACTCAAGTCTCCCCTCAACACAAGAACACTTTGTTCTAATGATGTGGCACTGTGTGATACCCACCTTCCCGGCAGCATCACTGAAGACATGGGTGCATAAACAAATGTGGTGAAGGAAATGGATGGTGCCTGGCTACTAAAAGATATAGCATCTGGAGTCTTCAAGGCTTGAAGTCAAACAAGCAGCCATCTAGCAGGGGAACAACTAAGTCCACATGGAAGACATACCCCAACCTGTGCAATCACGAAATGTTGATGGGAACAGGTATCAGAAGTTCAAAAACAATCATATTGATGTGAAGGAGAGGGGTCAGAGTGGAGTCCCAAAGCCCCCCCGCCCCGTTGATAATGGTCATTCCCTCACAGAAGGGCCACAGGGAAGGGATCACACATCCAGGGTACAGTACAGCACCAACATTGCTCTAGCTCTTTAATAGTTCTTCCCCTCACTATTATCAGTTCTACCTCACAAATCCTGCCAGACCGGCATCTGTACATTGGTAAAGATAAGGGCTTTTGATACACAGAATCCAGGATAGATAACCCCCTCAGAAACAGTAATGGGAGCAACGATTCCATGAGGTTATAGGAAGGGAGGGGGAAAAGGGGGGGAAGGGGAGACCGATAGCAATGATTGCTGTGTAACCCCCCTTGGAGGGGATGAATAACAGAATTGTAGGTAAAGGGATACATCAGATGGTGTAAGATATGAATAACATATATATATTAAGGACTCAAGAGGGTGGTGGGGTGGGGGCAGGAGGGAATAAAGAGAAGCTGATATCAAAGGGCTCAAGAAGAAAGATAACATTTTGAAAATGATGATGGCATTATCTGTACAAGTTAGCTTGATATAATTGATTTTGGATTGTCATAATATCTGTAAGAACCCCCAATAAAATGATTTTTTTAAATCTAAGAAAATACAAAAAAAACCCATATAGCAAATTTAGCAAAGCCTTATAAGTTCAGAGGAAAGACTGATAAAGATTAGCAAAAGCAGCTGTCCCCACAAAAAACCCTGAAAAACAAAAACAAACAATAACAACATTAAAACATAACTATGGATCGGGGTGGTGAACGTCTGGCCTGCGGGCCCGTGTAAGGGCTGGGAAATCCTCCAGACCAGCTAACAGCACAGCCTCACCAAAGAGAAGCCGGGCCAGCCACCACATCAGAGGGGAGGGATGAAATGTTGGACCAGGTGGCCCGAGAATGATGCGATGAATATCCAAGTGGCCCTTGGCAGAAAGAAGCTCCCTGCCCCTGCTACAGAGGCTCTCGAATCCAGTAAAACCCCAGTACTCGACCACAACAGTCTTCAACACAATTGGATTTCGACATGAAATGTTGAGAACATTTTGTATCGGAGCTCGAACAAAACATTGGAAATCCGGCCTGATGCACGTGAGTTTTGCAAACAAAAGCAGTGTGTGTTTCAGTCACTAGACACGAGTTGGCGCTGCTAGAACATGTTTTTTAAACCTTTTGTGGCTGTGTTCTAAGCGTTTTGCTATAAGTTTCTTAGTTTTTGTGACATTTTGTTCTGTTTTTAGATCAAAACATGGGTTCTAAGAAAGAGTTTTTTGAAAAGAATCATCATGCTAAGGAACGGGTTAACCATACTACTGATATTGTTGATGATATAGTAGACCACTGAGTTAGTTAATTGTGCCAGCCTGGCCGATAATCACATGTGGGGCTGGTTGAAAGGCGGAGGGATAGATGGGTGGTGAAGCCTCGCCTTTCTAGTTCTCGGGTCTCTTGTTTTGTGATGGTTGCATCGGGTGCAGCTGCCTTAGCAGTTCCCTGCTTCAGCTTGCAAGATTGACTTCATACAAGACATCCCCAAGGAGAAGCTACATGGACCTATCCCGATGCAGCCCTGGGTGCTGGAGCAGCCGTGTGGAGACCCCTGCTAGTGCTGAGATGCTTGTTCGTTCATTGACTCAGCTTTCCTCCTGCAGTCGGCATCATTGCCTCTGTTTTGTGAGGTGGAAGACTTTGTGAACTGGTGTTGGGTTAAGGGGTTAATGTTGGACTTTTGGGCTTGGGCAGCATTGGGTTGGGATGTTTTCATGATGCACCTTTTCTTTACATAAAACTCTCTTATACGTGAGTCGCCGTGGATTTGTTTCTCCAAAGTACCCAGACTAATACAACCACATTAGACAAAATTTTTTTTTAGAGAAAGCCAGCCAGGTCTCCTAGGGAAAAAAAAGCAAAGAAGGGAAAAAAACAAACAAAACCCCCCTGAAAAGCAGCTACCAGTTGAGTTTATGGAAAGGGATTCCCCTTCCAAACAATGACTCTCTCGCCATCCCTCCTCTCCACATCCATGTCCACAGATCCAGATCCTCATCAATCTCAAGGTATGGGCCATACTGTAGTTGTTAAAAACTTTTAAAATGTGTTTCTTATTTAAATTATATTATTTAACTCTAAACTTATTTACTTTGAAATTTCTGTATAATGTTTTGTATAAAAAGGTAAGGTTAGGGTAAAAACTTGGTGGTCTAGAACGAATTAATCTGTTTTCAGTTATTTCTTATGGGAAAAATTGAGAACTCGACTGCATCGCATCTCGACACTCCTTCTAGAATGGATTAGCGTCCAGGCCTGGGGTTCTGCTGTAAATGGACCAGCAGCCACATATACTTTAAATAGGTCTAGAGCATGTTTTCAAACTTACCGTATATACTCGTATATAAGCCGAGTTTTTCAGCACATTTTAAATGCAGTTTTTGTGGTAAAATTAGGTGACTTGGCTGATATTCGGGTTGACTTATACTCGAGTATATATGGTATTTGGCCTTTTTCAGGAAATAAATAAGTAAAGCAGGGGAAATTTTTTGTGCTACAGCCCAGAATCCAGGATAAAGTGTCGGTATCTGGTTTTCCATCCCCCTGGACCATTCCAGTGCCCTGCAGGGGGTGGCAAGCTTTAAGAGCACAGAACTACATCACAGCAGAATGCATTACGGACATGTACACTGATGGTCTAAGTAATCAAGAATACAGAATAAAATAAAATTTTAAAAAGAATACGTAAACTAAGTTTAAGGTATTTTACGCAAGAAAGGAAGAGTTACACGCTACAGGGTGATTTGAAGAAAATTTTCAGTTTCCCAGACAGTACATTTTCGGAAGGTCCCCCAGATGGATAGTTCACTGAGTAGATATCCACCCTGACTCCCCTCCCAATCCTCCTAATCAGATATCATTAGTAGTGGGCAGGACCTTAGAGAGCGTGAGCCTGAACGCAGCGGGAAGTGAGCGATGTATTAAGGAATAGTCTCATGGGGGGAAGAGGGAGAAGGCGTACTACCTGGCCCAGGTAGCGCCACTCACCATATATCGACTTTTTCTGAGACGGGTTCATTCCTTATCACCTCTGGTGCCATCCAGGCCACTGTGCCAGCAAAGGACATCTTGGTACTTTTATCGCTGAGTTCTTTAGACGTACCAAAATCTGAAATTTTGACTGCATCTGTGTGCGTGACTAAAACACTGTAAGAAGAAAGCAGGGAGACATTTGGGTCATCAGTGCAAACGAAAACCACAGTTCTAAATGGCAGCGGAAGACACGTGTGTGGCCTCCGACCTTTTAGACGTGGGCTTGCGTTTCCAGGGCTCCTTGGGCCTTAGCTAAACCCCGGAAGCTGCCTGGTTCCCACGTGCAGGGCAGCAGAGGGCAGCCCCTGCACCTGCCTCTGCCACGTGCTAACTGTGTGACCTTCGACCAGTTAGTTAACTCTTCTAAGCCAGTTTCCTCACCTGCAAGATGGCATTAACACAGACCACAGCATCTTCTCCATAAATTAGACAGGCAAAAAGACTTGGAAGTGGTTTATAACTATGTTTCCGTTGATATAAAGCCCACTCACGTTACCCCCTTTGTGCGACTGTCATAGGCTTTGCCACAGGTAAGTGACAGCAGCTGATGGCAGGGCACCAGGTGATGCTCGGGAAGCCCCGGTGGGACAGTGGTTTCTTGTTGGGCTGCTAACCAGAAGGCCAGCTGTTTGAAGCCACCAGATAGTCTACGGCCAACAATCCTCTAAAGATTGACAGTCCCAGAAACCCGCAGGGGCGGTGTTATCCTGTTCTCTGGGGTCGCTATGAGTCAGCATGGCCTTCCTGGCAGGGAGTGGGGAGCTGAGGCTCTGTCCTTGCCATCTGCCTCACCTGCTTTAGATAAGGGATCATGTCACTGTCGCAACCACCTCGCAGAATGACAAAAAACCCACAGCACTCCTTAGAAAGAATGACAGTCCCTAAGCAACAGAAACACTAGACGCTCCCCCTTCTGCCTCTTTTGTGCTTGCCCATGATGAGACACTGTAGCATGGTAGACGATGACTTGGGAAGCGAACAGAGATCTACGGATGGAACTGGTACGAAATCTCAGACTTCTGTTGGCATCCCAGCCTGAGGTTTAGTGTCAGTGGTTTAATCTCTCATTCCAGCGAGCCCGACTGATCGCTGTCTTCTCAAAGTTACCACGAAACCCAAAGGGGTCAAGTCTGCTGGGGTGGGGACTGCTTTTGATAACAGAGGCATGGGTTTAATGGGTAACCAACTTCCTGCTCTACTATTTAAATGGCAGGCGGTCAAGGAAATGGTCTATGATTTCCTGCCTCCTTCCTTCTAAAGCGGCTTCTCCAGGAGGGCAAGTTAGTTAAAAAGGAGGGGTGATGTGTGTTGTGGGTGGTGAGAGAACAGTTGGCTCGTCTAAGGCTGTGAATGGGAATAATGGAGACTGTATAATAAAGGTAATTTGCAAGTAAAGCCGGGAGGGAGGTATTCCGTCCGTAAGCACTGGACTAAGCATGGCTGAGAACGAAGGTGGTGAGTGGACATTGCTTTGCGGCTTGTCACGAAGGGATGGCTGCTATTTTCCGTGGAGAGGAGTCGGGATTCTGTGTGAATCCCTTGCCCTCACAGGATTAGGTAGGATGTAGTGGTCTTTGTGGTGCAAACGATCTGGGTTCAAGCCCTCGTTCCATGACTTGGGGTTCTGAGTCCTAGTGTCTCTTGTACCAAATAAGAACAGCGACCCTTGTCCCACCTGCCCCACATCGTCTTTGTCAGGCTCGAAGACGCCCGTGTGATCAGGGAACCGCACACATCGCTGTACCCACGAAGCCGTGGGCAACTGCGGCTCTGAAAAGATGTCGGTCCTTCTCCGCTTCTCTAAACAAAACGTGACCAGCGATAACAAAAGTAGTCCTGTTTTAAACGAGGGGCCGCCCTGAAACATACCCTTTTAATTCATTCCTTTCTTTCCTTGGGCAATTTGGGGAACTGAGGAATAACTCACCCTACACTGGGTGCTGACAGTCAAGGACCCACCCACATTGGGGACAGAGGTCTGGAAAAGCAGCCCGGCTGCTCAGAAACGCCCGGTTTGCATCTTTCTCCTCGCAGACCCTGGGAGCCTGCCCCCTGTCCGCTTCCTCTTAGCCTCTCGAAGGCTCCAGACCAAACCCCGCCATCACCTCTAACATCGGTGCGGGATTTTACGGAACAAGTTTGTGAGTAAGCTGTCGGTCTAAGGCAGTGGTTCTCAACCTGTGGGTCAAGACCCCTTGGAGGGGGAATGACCCTTTCACAGGGGTTGCCCCGTTCTTAACAGTAGCAAAATTAGTTATGAAGTAGCAGAGAAAAAACTTTATGGTTGGGGGTCACCACCACATGAGAACCACTGTTCTAATGTCTAGTTTTCTCTTGGCCTGCTCTCATCCACCCACTTCCACCCTGTTACATACACTTCTGCATCTAGCTTTCAAAGTCAAAGATTTTGGGGGAACAGGGTAGGAAAACGACATATCAAGCTTTCAGATTCTCCGAGATGCTGGCAGGTAACTACTTCAGATAATAATGGAGGGGGTTGCGTAGCTGTGTGATTTCAAGGGCAGCAAGGGGCCAACTGGTAGGTTGCTGGCCATACCGGCCGCAGGGCAAAGAAGCGGGTCTGCAGGAATCCCAAAGACATACCAACCGAAGCACCCACCACGCAGCCTGAAACCGAGCTGAAAGCCGGGGGACCGCAGATGACATGGGGTGCTTCAAAACAGTCAAACAGAAGAGCTGCAGGGTTAGCCCCAGAACTCACTTAGGCGATTTGAGATCACGGTGAATGATTTTGTGGAGGTGCAAATAATTCATTCCACTGGCAATCCCTGTGGACCAGTCTACGAGCAGTCGGGGTGTGATCTTCCGGCCCGCACGCAGAACCTCATAGAGTTGTCCGTGGGCGCAGTACTCCATGATGATACAGTAACACGGGGCCTGGGTACAAACCCCCCTGGCCAGAAAACACACACATGTTGAGGAACACATACAGACAGGCAAATATATCAGACAAGCTCTTCTTCTGCCTTGAGGATAGTTAAGGAAGTAATAAAAATGAATGGCCTATCCAAGGTCTTTTAAAATTTCAATAGCTTTATTGGCATGCCTTTCACATGTCATACACTTCCATAGTTCAGTCATTACAGGGCCGTATAAACATCACTACAATCAGTTCTAGAACATTTTCTTCCTTCTTGTAGCCATTATTAGCTCCCCATTTCCCTCCTGCCTCCCCTCTCATATCCCCAACAAGCCATTTAAGTCAGGTCCTATCTCTATAGATTTACCTATCCTGGACTTCATCTACTGGAAAACATACCAAAAAGAAAAAAAGAAAATGACCAACAACAATAACAAAATAAGCCAGAGGAAAAAACTTCAATCCAGAAAAAAGCAGGAAATACGAAAAACTAGAAAAAATGTACAGTGGGTCCAAAGGGAATCAAATAGTACCTTTTAACCTAACTACACCTGTCATAATCGAGCTGATAATACTCTCTGGTGTCAAGGCTATTCGGCTCCCTCAACTAACACGGGGCTTGCAGAGGCTGTGGATGACAGTTGGAGCCCCGGCTTCATCCGCAGGGTCTGTGCGTGAATGAGGCCTCTGGTGATCGCAGTCGAGGGGTGAGTAGCCTCGAGACCAGACAAAGCCTTTTAAACAAGCACAGAGCTCGTCTCTTCTCATTCTGAAGTGGGCATGCGCACTCGGGGCTCCCTTCTGCCATTCAGTATGCCATGTTCACTCCGGACACCTAGAGGCCGCGCTCCATCTGGTGTTTTCTCTGTGGGGCTGAGAAGCCACGTGGAGACCCCTGCCAGCGCTGAGATGCTTACAACGCCACTGGATCCAAAGCCTTTCTACCCACTGGCTTGTGATCGTCCTGCATTTGGCGTCATTGCATGTGTTTCGTGAGTCTGAAGAGGACTTTATAGAATGGTATCGGACATATGGGCTAATATCGGACTTATGGGCTTGGACTGGACTGGGTTTGGATGCTTTCTTAATGTACAATTACCCTTTATGTAAAACGCTTTTAAACACATGCGTTTCTATGGATTTGTTTCTCGAACACACTTCACCTTAACTATTTGGCTGAAGTAAAGCTTCCATGCAAGCATGTACAGACTTAAGGGGTAGGAGGAAGGCCACCAACACAAAAGAGTATCTTCTACCTATTCACGAGTGTCGGTCAATGAGGATGAGGGCCAGGGGCCCAGGTCATCTAGGTACAGGTTCACCTCTGTGATGCTGCAGAAAACTTCTCTCAGGAGTACACCTGGCTCACCTTGAGAACTCACTGCCGTCGGATCGATGCTGACTCACAGCGGCCCTACAGGATGGAGCAGGATTGCCCCTCTGGGTTTCTGAGATGGTAACTCTTTACGGGAATAGAAAGCCTCATCTTTCTCCCTCGGAGAAGCTGGTGGTTTTGAACTGTTGGTCTTGCAGTTAGTAGCCCCATGCTTAACCACTAGATCACTAGGGATCCCTAGTCGCCTTGGGGTACCCTGGGGGGAAAAAGTACAATCAAAAGAGTGGCTTCTGGGGGGTTCTGCTTAGCCAGGTCAATTCGGGGAAGAGAGGCCGGCTCAGCAGGTTTTTGCATCTGTATTTTGGAGTCCCTAAGGGGTCTTCTTGTTAGATTTTCTTGCAGGATCCAGGACGATCACAGGGGTTTATTGTGAGAATAGTTTAAGAAAACAGAAAACTGCACTGGTGAGAAAAGTCGCACTGAGGAATTTTTTTCCCCACTGCAGCAATGCACCCGCTCATTCTTGGAGGGTGGCAGGGCTGTCCTAACGGAATTTCACTAGGAAACCTTCACTGGCACAGCCCTGGCACTTTAGCCCTTCAGGCTTCTTTATATCTGCGACACTCAAAGAACATTCAAACAGAACATGTTTTGATAACAAAACGCCATGTTGGCGTGGTGGAAACTAAAGGGCACAGAATTAGGTGGAAGAAGGGCTGGAGAGATAGGAACCCTGCCTTCAGAATGTAGACACCTAGAAAGAAACTATATTGAGAAGCAATAGGTTTACATTTCGGATGTTTTTGTTTCATAAAGGTTTCTATGGTTTTGTAGCAACACTTTTTGACTTCCCTTGACATATGCTTATTTGTCTTATTTAACCCCGACCCCAAAATAGAAACCCTAAGTTGTAAGGCAGCTAGTACATCCTTCTAGATAAATCTCGAAGTGGGAAAGTGACTTGTCCCAGCCGAGCTGGGAGCGAAGCCCCGCCTAACTTCAAAGCTCTTCTCCCTCGGGGCTCTGCACCGCCTCGCTTTAACTTCTTGTGCGGATACGTATTGTGGCAGTTACATGATTTCATGTCAACCTGATAAATAAGTGTGGGGGTGGAGTCCAGCCTGTCCTTGTGGGCACAGTCTTCTCATGAGGGTTCTGGGAACATCCTCTCTCTCTCTCTGCCTTTGTCTTCCTGCTGACAAGCCTTGCAGAGACTTGCTGAGACCTGCCAGAGCCTCTCTCTCTGCTTCCCGTTCCTATTAACAAGCCATGTGGAGCCAGGCTGAGACCTGAGTGAGCCGTGCTGCGCCAGCCCTGTGATGCTTCTACCGCCATTGAATCCACAAGACTTCCCACCCCTCGACCTGTGATCTTCCTGCGTTTGGCATCATTGCGTGTGCTACGTGAGTCTGAAGAAGGATTTATAGACTAGTACTGGCTAATACTTATGGGCTAAGATCAGACTTATGGACTTGATCTGGACTGGGCTGGGATGTTTTCTTAATATATAATTACTCTTTGATATAAAGCGCTTTCCTATACATCTATGAGTTTCCCAGGATTTGTTTCTCTAGTCCACCCGGCCTAACACAAGTAGGTAGGGGATGCCCATGTTAATACAGAGACCTCACAAAAGTGCAAATAGCCACACTGACTCGACTTCACAGCTTTGTTCTGAAGATGAAAGAAGGTAACTTGGATCCCATGCAATTTTCTGGACCCCATCTAATTAGGATATATGTGTCTTCCTTTGAAATTCCCAAGAAACGTTAACAGAGTGCTCGATCTACAAGACAACCAGGTACAGAAAATCAGCCACCATGTCCCCTCTCTCAGGTTGCCCCAGGAGATTAAAGCTCTAGAAGTCATGGCTTCAGGCACTGTTAATGGGAGGATTTTACAATAGCAGGTTATGAAGAAGTAGTCTTCATTCTCTCTGCCTTGACGTGTCCGTCAAATGTCACAAAGCGATGTCTTTGATTTGCCTATCATTTGCTAAGCGAGCCAGAATTCTCACATGGTTAATGAAAACATCCCCCAACCACCACCAAGTTCAAGTTCTTGTTATTTTAGGAAAGCACAGTGGAGCCCTAGTGTCCAGCAAACACCCACAGATAATTCAGTTATCTTTACAGAGAAGCTGTGAATCAGGCAGGTCTAGTGTGCTTCACTGTGGGAGAAAGATGAGGTTTTCAATTTCTGGAAAGACTTACAGCTTCAGAAACCCAAACGGGTACTTCTACTCTCTCCTGTAGGGTCACTCTGAGTTGGAATTGACTCGATGGCAATGAGTTTGGTTTGATGGTTTTATGTGCTTATGTGCAGTGGATAAGCGCTAACTGAAATGTCAGTGTTCAAATCCACCAGCCACTCCGTGGGGGAAAGATGAGGCAGTCTGCTTCCATCAAGGTTCCAGCCTTCGGAACCCGTGGAGCCGTTCTTTTCTGTCCAAAGGGTTGCTCTGCATTGGGATCAACGCAAAGCAGTGGGATTGGTTGGGTAATGTGTCGAAGAATATAAACATATATGCGTTCGAAGGTACCCTGCATCCTACTCAACCATGCTCTCCCTCCTCCCACAGACAGACAGACAGAAAAGTCTACCGGCGGTATGTGAATGCACTTTCATCTCTCTTCACTGGCGAAAGAGAAGCAGTCATTCCATCAACCGTGTACTATGACAAGGCTTCTTAGCAGCTCTAAATAACCGCTCTCTAAGGACTTCTAATTGCTACCTTTTCTTCCCTCCAAACTGAATTCCATTAGGAACAGTCGGTCTTGCCTTGCTTCAAAGATTACTTGGGGGAAGAAGAGGGAAAAAGAAAAGAAAAGAATATAGTATTCTTATCTCTCACAGCCCCTACTGTGCCTGGCTCTTACTAATTTCAAAAGAGGCTACAAGCACGTAGATCAGTGGGCAGAGAGGGAATTTAAAATGCAATCTTGCTCTTGTATTCTCTAGACGGTCCTGAATGTGTCCACTGGCCGAGCAACACACGACACAGTTGGCGATGACCACGACACTGCACAAAGCCCGGCAGCATGGTGCAGTAAGCCAGGGACCCAGTCTCACGATTGTTTTCTGTGTAGAGGTAAAGGCTCTTCAACCAGCTCCGTATACTTACCCAGAATGCTGAAAACTGCACATGCAGGTAGGAGGGTTGGCGGGGTGTTATGGGAAAGAGATTTTTCCCATCAGAGGAAGGCAAAGGACACCTTCCCACTGCCTTCACTGCTCAGGGCACCCTGCTAGAAAGCCCACCCCATCGAGTTCAGGAGGCCAAGCAGCTATGTTAATCTATAGACTATTCTGTGCCTCAACCCAGTTTCCTGAGGACCTTTATTTTAGAAGCTCTTGGCCTTTGTAGGAGCCCTGGTGATGTAGTGGTTACGCGTTGGGCTGCAATCTAAATGGTTGGCGATTCGAAACCACCAGCAGCTTCGCGGGACAAAGACTGAGGATTCTACTCCTGTCTTCTGAAATTTCCTATCTTTGGAAAGATTCTACTCCTGTCTTCTGAAATTTCCTATCTTTGGAAAGATTGTAATGGGTCTCGCTAGCACTACGTTTTGGTCTCATCGCTTCCTGATCCTCCTAGGACAACCATGGTGGGGCCACCATGGCAACTGATGCGCTCGCCCCGGTGTCCTCGGCATGGGTGTCCTTTCCACGAGGAAATGAGTCCCAGCACTTCAGTTGGCCTGTCAGTTTACCAAGTGGGTGCTTGTCCTCCCCTTTTCAGAAGGGGTCTCATGTGGGAATCAAAACCCAACTTCAATCCAGATTCAAGCCCTTCCTACGAAGAACCGTGTGCCCAGATCGCCATCCTGTATTTGGGGGGTGTGGTTCCAATGAGGAATTATCACATGAATGTGTAACTTTATACGGAGGGTTTGTTTTTAAACCAAGGAAGCATTCTTGCGGGGGCTGGGTGTTCTTCCTAGCCTAAGGAAGAGGAATTTGTAAGTTGGTCTACTTGACTTGTCAGACTATTTCCCAAGAATGAGAACTACATGTCAGGTATGCCCAGAAGGTCTAGTTTCTCACCTTCACTCCACCTCAAGTCTACCTCTTCTGTTCACTTGATCCCATGTCACCTTCCTCTACAGCAGCGGTTCTCAACCTGTGGGTCGCGACCCCTTGGAGTGGGGGTTGTCGAATGACCCTTTCACAGGGGTCGCCTAAGACCATCGGAAAACACGTATTTCCAATGGTCTTAGGAACCGAGACAGCACTCCTCCATCGTCTCCAGGCGGTCCACCCACATGCAGATATGCCCACATACGAGTACCCATGCTACACCATGCTTCAACACAAAATTTCATTTATTTGTCATGAGAAATAAATATTTCACAATATGTAATTACATATTGTTTTTGTGATGAATCACTATGCTTTATTTATGTTCAATTTGTCACTATTTAAAATACACCCTGCATATCAGATATTTACATGATGATTCATAACAGTAGCAAAATGACAGTGATGAAGTAGCAACGAAAATACTTTTATGATTGGGGTCACCACAACATGAGGAACTGTACGAAAGGGTCATGGCATTAGGAAGGTTGAGAACCACTGCTCTAAAGCCATCCATTGTGCATTAAGCTAACCCTGCCGCAGAATTTAAAGGTTAGTCAGGGAAGGGACTCCAGAAAAGGGGGAGAGATTATTCCTATTTAGAGCTCTGCACTTCCAAGTTTGTGACTTCCATAGATACACCTTTCACTCTCCCCCTTCTCCTGGGACTCTCCATCAACGATACCAAAGATAGGCTCAACTAGAGAAGTATGTTCATATAGTCTCAAAAAGAGCCATTTTTCAAGTGAATTTAACACCTAACTTGCTATCACCACACTATCACCACACTATCATCACACTATCACCACACTGGTACTCTTTGAAAATGGATTTAGCAAAACCTGAGGCAAGGGGAGCCACTCTGAAGCAACCTGTTACAACAGGTTAACATTTAAGAAGCAAGGCTAATAGGAACTCACAAGACTTACATATGGTTCTACATCGACTAGATGTTCTATGATCACTTCGCAGGTGTTAGCTTGGTTTTCTTAACTGGACTGGAGGATGATCAGGTTCCATGAAAGTGGCCTTGGCCGCTCCATTGAGAAATGAGGTCATTTGGCTGACCTGACCATTCTGCGGGGATCTACTTCCTCCTTCTCTGCCCAATGAGCACCCCTGCTAAGCTCTGGCACAAAGAACGACTAGACTGTAAGGTCCTTAATGACGTGTCTCAAATGTAACAGTTCTTTGGGTCCCTCTCCCAGCACCTAACACAATGTCGAGCCTGTAGCGCACGCTTGCCTGTGTCTGAAAGCAGAGACTTCTATGTGTGCGTATGACGGGGGTGTATGGAGGGGGCGGTTTCTGAGGAACAATGAAGGAGCTGGGGGTGCATGGGGGGGGGGGTTTGAGGAACAATGAAGGAGCTGCACCTACTTGAAGGCGATGATGTTCGGGTGCTTCAGCTTCCTCAGATGCTTGATATCCGTCTCGTTCTGCTCTCTCACTTTCTTGATGGCCACCTCCTCCGCTCGGAACTTGCCCAAGAAGACAGCTCCCTGGGCCCCACTGCCCAGCCACTGCAGCTCCGAGATCTCCTCGAATGGTACTTCCCAAGTATCTAGGCACACAGGCAGGCAGCGAGCTTGGGTGAATCTGGGAATTGGCTCAGGATCCTCTGCAAGGCCACTTCCAAGGTGCCACCTTCATCATCACCCAGAATAACCGTTACCCTGTCTCCTGCCTGATAACCCACCAAGACAGAACTTCCTCTGGTCTTACTATTATGAGATTATAATATTTGCTTTCAATTTTCAGCCACTGAAATCCAAGCAGGTCAGAGCTCTTCAATGCAGGCTACTGCAGACAAAGCACACCCTGGCCCTCCCTCAGCCCCACCTCCGGCTCCCATTTCACCTGTCCTACAGCATGACCCAACACTAGACGTTTCATTCCCTTTGGTTTCTAGCATGGGTGCTTAATAATTCCTTGCTGAATGAATTGTCAATACTTTCCTGAGAACCTAATTATGCACAGTACTAAAGTGCTAAAACAGCCTTTAGTATTTGATATAATATTACCTTGTAGAATTTACACAGTCGCGTGTTTTACCTCTATCTTACACTTCCTCCTTACCGCAATCCTCCAAGGACAGTGCTTTCTCCACTCGGCCACGCTGACTCTTAGAAAGGAATTGGTAAGACCGTTGCTCGTGAAGGGTTTGCCCATATAGCTGCCGTCTTTTCAAATTAAAATGTTAAGAGTTTGGCTTCTTCCCCCCACCCCTCCAAAAGTTAATCATTTCTATGTGATGGCATAACTGATGATACATAGTATATTCTTCATCCCTCCCTTTATTCTTTTTCTTAAAACCATGTCTATGTTATTTTTATTACAAAAAAGTACATTTTGAAATAAAACACTTCAAATTTCAATTTTTGATCTTATGAACCTCATTGATCCTTCTTACCACTGTAGAAGATACACACAACAAAGAGCTAGGAGCCCTGTGGAGTGTGACCAAGGATGATGATGACGTTAAAGGTTCTGAGCGATTCTCGTCAGACCACCGATCGCTAAAAGGCCACTGTTGGCAGAACACGGAACAAGGTGGTATTGAGTTCGCTCTGAACATATTCAGGTCTTGGAAAGCAAATCGATTCATTATCCACTAGGTCAACAAGAGAGTCTGGAAGAAAGCTCCACTTCCTTTTCTAACTTTCTTCACCTTAAGAGAAAAATAAATTATATAGATTCTTCATACAATGTGGTTCCCCATTACAATGATTAAAACATGAACCTTCAGAACAGAACTACACAGAGCAGGAACAAATTATATGGAAGTGATATATACATAGCATGGGCATGTGTCCCACGCTCCTGACATGAGCAACATCCAACCTTTCCGCTCTAGGGAAATGGAATGGATGCTATTTTAAAGCAGATCTCTCTAAAATACACATAGCTCAAACATACTAAGTCACTAGATACCACGTGAGATTTGGCATGGAACCAAATTACAGGCTTGATAGCTTTCAATGTCTTTAGGCCCTCGATGATTGACAAGTCTTAGCAATTCATGCAATCTCCCTTCTATCCCCTAGGTTTATTTGGTGAAAAAGAGGAAGACCCTCAATGAAGTGGATTGACACGGTGGCTTTAACAAGAGGCTGGGACCCAACAATAAAGGTGAGGACGAGGCAGGAATGGGCAGTGTTTCCTTCTGTTATAGCACTGACAACAACAACAACAGCTTTGTTCACACAGCAGACACAGCACACAGATATGGGTGACACATTGTGAGAAAATTTGACTTTTCAGGCGTTCTGTGAAGATTCTAAGTCACTAAAGAAATCACCTGGAGCAACCTGGAAGCTGAATAAAGTACTACTCCTGGAATCAAGGACAAGAACACACGGGCAATCGTTCCATAAGTAATCCAATGTTTTTCATACACTCAACAATAATTTTTAATACAATGAGCAACAACAGACAAGGGTCTCTTATTTTCTATTAACTCAATCATTATTTACTACTAAATAGTATATGTTAGGAAATACTAGAAATAGTATTATTCTTTTTTTAAATTCAATACTTTTATTGGGGGCTCTTACATCTTTTACCCCAAGCCATACATTCACCCATTGTGTCAAGCACATTTATACAGATGTTGCTATCATCATTTTAAAGCATTTTCTTTCTACTTGAACCCTTGCTATCAGCTCCTCATTCCTCCCCCTCCCTCCCTCATGAACCCTTGATAAGTTATGGGTTATTATTTTCATTATCTTATATCGTCCTCTGTCATCCTTCACCTACTTTTCCATTGTTCGGAGGTGGTTAGATAGTGAGCCTTGTGATTGATTCCCCCTTTCTCCCCCCACCTTCCCCTTAGCCTCCTGGTATCTCTATAATAGTATTTTTCTTAAACATATTCTATTTGTAGCTTCACCTCATATTCCCTTTTCATCTATCTTTGTTCATTTGCTTACAGTTATATAAGAAATTATATCTGAGGGAAAGTTTTTTGTACTCTTTTTCTGTATTTTGTACCCTCCATGTGTGTGCCGTTTTCATCATCAATTTTTAGTCACTGTTTACCTTCTTATGTTTTGGAAACCTTAAAGTATTTCTATCGTTTTATTTTACGAATCTAAATTTGACACGCTTTTCTTTCTTTACATTCTTTCTCCAGACGCAATCACTCTATTACAAAGTCTAGTCTCTTGGTTTGGGGTCTGCTGTCCACATTGCTAGCCAAAAGCACTTGGCCAATTTGTGTCGACCAGGGCAACATAGGAATGTCATTTCCACCACAATGCTGTTTGCACTGGATGTTACCAATTATTTTTCTGGTTCTAAGTTAATTAGGAGCCCTGGTGGTGGAGTGGCTATTTGTCAAACTGCTAACCACAAGGCCAGCAGTTCAAAACCACTAGCCTCTCTGCAGGTGGAAAAAGGAGGCTTTTTACTCCCGTAAAGAGTGGACAGTCTCAGAAACGTACGGGCCGTTCTACTTTGCCCTGGAGGGTCAATCGGAGTCAGAATGGACTCAACAGCAGCGGGTTTTTGAGTCTGAATTTAATTGAGACTTGATGGTAACTATTTGGCTTTGGAGTCTTGACTTGGCTCCATCCCAGTGCCCCTGTCGACTGACATGTAGCATGGAGCCAAAGAACAGGGACAAGGAAGTTCGTGATGAGGCTGTGCAAACTTGGGGCCTAGCTCATTGACAAGTAGATAGTGACACCCACTCATAGGGAACTGCTCTCTCTGGGGCTGGTCCCAGGCTTCTTGCTGCTTTGACATCTGCCTCATTCATTCTCCCGCCCGGCTTCTCCCTGTTCTCCGATTCATCGCTCTGGACTACAGTGTGATGGCAATGCCTGCCACGCCCTGAGGACTGAGAGAAAACTGCTCACTCTCCTGGCTTGCAGGCGGCCTCTTTGTTTCCTCGGACAATGCTGGCTTTGAAACTGGAGGCCAGTTGGCAACCAAAGATTTCAATTACACACACGAGCACTACCTTGCTTGGGCTTCGCTACCTAACAGACCTAACGTGGAGATGAGGGCAGCGTCACATTTTACGGAAATCTAGTGCATTTCCTCCTCAGGGTCAAATGTAGGCCACATCTGTCATGTGTGCTCCCTCTTGGTGGACTGCAAACCAGGATTAAAGATTAGCTCCCTGATTCCAGAGCCACAAGGAAAATACAACATGCAGTTTTGGGGCCGCAGCAGTAACAGCCCCCAGCAGGAGGGCCTGTCATCTGCCAGAGAGTTAGGCAGCTGCCTGCCCGTAAGCTGACCAGGCCTGACCAGAGCCCTTCTGGAAGTCGCACAATCAAGAGAAGATAAATTAAGTACAGATTTTGCAGGAAGAGGAAACCCCAAAGGGCTCTGTCTAACAGACCCATGGGCTGGATCTGCTGCACCTGCGTCTGACCCTAGCTTTGGATCTGGGGGCCTCTCAATGGCTGCCCCAATGATTATGAAAGGGGCTGGGAGATTTTATTTTGCAAGCCATGACCCTAAAAGCCAAAGATGCAGCCAGATATGACATATGCAGAAATGAATGGGCTCTGTGTCTAAGCCAAGAAGGGGAACCTGAACAAAATGATAGGGTGAGAGCGGTTATCTCTGTCCTGTGAGATGACAAGTGATTTCTGTTTTCCTTTTGTGCTGAGCTTTGTTTGCTTAATAGCAACTGCCAAGCTTTGTGTGATAGACACCAACTGTTCCATTTCCTTGAACCCTGGAGGCTATGGAGGGAGCGGGAAAAGGCAGGGGGAATAATGAGTAAGGCATGAGGGTGTAAGTATGAAAGAGAGCAAGACCACACACACACACACACACAGACACACACACACACACACACACACACACACGCAGGGGGAATAATGAGTAAGGCATGAGGGTGTAAGTATGAAAGAGAGCAAGACCACAGACACACACACACAGACACACACACACACACACACACACACACACCCTGCAGGGAGTAGGAGGATATGTTGTGGTTGATGAATCCTGAAAAGTATACCTGGAGTTGACCTATGTACCAACAGAGCACAATAGACTTATGAGGAAGGAGGGGATGGGAGGGAGAGGTTGGCACGGTCATTTAAAAGGAGTATTTCAGAAATAGGATCAATAGAATACATGAGAAAATGGTCAGGGGCTCCTGGTGTCCACTGGCTGTTGTGGGAACCTTCGCACCAGTCTTGACCCCAAAAGATAAGCAGACTTCCAAGGGAGGGTCGCAGAATCCCCCATTTGGTTATATGATAACTAAAACAGAATTTCACTTCTGGTCCTTTAAAACGTTTTTTTTTCTTTCTTTCTATAATTTCTTGATGGACGAACTAAAAAAATTGGAATCATTTATATATAAAGACTAAAAAAATCTCTGAACCCAGACATGTCTAGGAATTTATCCTAATGGGTGGTCAGAGATGTGTGCCAATGTAAATTACTAAACAGGTGTCCACCACGGCGTAATCATGAAAAAGAGCAAATAAATTAAGTGTCTGGTACAAAGGGACCACTTCAACGGCATGTGCATACCGTTCAGCGTGCTACAGCTATTAAAACTGAAGACGCAGCTTCACTGATATGGAAAATGTTCACAATATGAAATGAAAAAAAAGTTGCAAAACAGTATGATTCGATTTTTACTCAGTATACGCACCGCACAAAACTAGTGTACAGCAAACACATGAATGGTGGCGGGCCTGAGGAGAGTGGGCATCACGGATTATTTTAAGTTTTTTTAGTTTGCCTTTCCCCCCACATTTCCTACAGACAAGTGGGCTTCAAAAAGTTTGTGGTAAAGTAGAATGAAAAGATGATGGAATTTTCCCATAAATTTTGTGAGTCCCCTCACACATGGCTTTTCTTTTTTTTTTTAACTTTTAAAAAGGTTATTTTAAAGAAGCGAAGTTACATTATGAAGAGCGCTAAGGCCACATGTTCTCTTCACAGCAACAGTGGAACGCTTGATTGGAATATGTGAATTTACGTGGGAGTGATAGGGGTTTAAACGCTTCCTTTTTACAAAGCCCTGAGATCTAGCAATCATCACTCAATGAAAACACTTCAGTTGGGTTAGTTTGTGTTTTCCCTCCAAGTGTGAGCTTGTCTTGCCTTGGCTGAGGACAGTCATTCTGGTTGGCTACCACTGAGACCGGCCTGCCCGCTCAGAGGCAGGGCCATGGGCTTCTACCTGGCTTTGGATTAGTCCAATGGCCACACATCTTTTTGATGATATAGCTGCTCAGTGAAAAACAAGAACAAAAGCTAATTAGTAAAGATCAAAGTTCAGCACGGACCCACATCATGACTGAGGTGTGAATTCCATACCTGTGCAACTACTTTAAGATGTCGAGTATACCTGAAAACACAGATTTAAATGTGGGATAAAATTTAAAAAGAAGGTATCAGATTTTCTTTCTGTACTCCTTATATATAATCTACTTTGGATACCACTGAATTGGACAACTGTGAAAAATAGGCTTCTACCCAAAAAAGACCTGCCAAATGTCCATCTGTTTCGTTTTAGAAGGCTTAAAAGCAATTGTGCTGGGGTGTTCATCTGCCTCTACTAGCTCTTGAATGGCCCCCGGAGGTCAAAGTGGCCCACTTGGTGTCTGGATCATCCTCTAACTTACCTTGCTGCTGCAGTTTGTAATCAGTGGAGTAGGCCTTTCCAATGATATTCCACACAGGCCTCAAACATCCAAACAGTCCTTCCAGAAAGCCACCACTGCCGCTGCCAGACCTGCTGAACTGAATTCGGATGTCTTCAGCTCCACTCGTGTTCTCTCCGTCCGCCGTGTGGCCGGTCCCCTGAGACACGGCCATCTCTGAGTCATCGTGTTCCCTTAGCTGGAGGATGCTGTTCTCAAACTGGTCCCTGGAATCCTCGCTCACGCTCGTCAACACGGTCGTGGTGCTGGGGCTGCTCAGGGTCTCAAGGAACTCTGTGCGTGCCACCCCGCGGTCCTGCAGGTCCTCCAGGAGCTCGGAGGGCGGGGGGCTCCCCACAGGGGCGAGGTCATTTTGCGGTCCATGGGAGGGTTTGTTTTCACTCAAGGCCAGGTGTGGAGAGGAGCAGCTCAGGTGCTCCTGAGGGCAGGCCATCGTGCCATGAGTGTGCCCACGGTCCTGAGAGGACACTCAGAGGGTGATCAGACCGAAGGGAGGGTGCCCAAACCTAGGGAAATAGGGGGACATAAAGTCATCCTCTCTGTAGCCATCCACACTACGGTTTATAATGATAAACACATCGAAACAACGGAAGATTGGTTAAACGGGGGTATATGTCCACACGATGAAATACTGCACAATGATTAGAAATCACATTGTAGCAGAGTATTTACTAACATGAGAAAATCTTCATGCCATAGTAACATCAGAAAGCAGTCTAGCACAATGTAGACAATGTAAACAGGAAGAAGCACACCAGCCCGTGCGCTCACAAGGTGTCGAAGGAATCAGGTATCAGGCATCATCAGAACAAAAAATCATATCATTGTGAATGAGTGGGGGAGTGTGGAGTGGAGAC